AATTTAATTAAATCTTCCGGTGATGGATGGATTGCAGTTAGCAATGAAACTACATACAACAATATGAACAAAGCAATGTTTAATTTCAATAAATCCTTATTCATGTCATCGCATAAATCCTTTTATAACGACATTGATATTAAAATATTAAATGAAACAAGAAGTATAGCACCTTCGGGTTTATTATCGAGTAATATTAATTTAGTTTATAAAACAGAAATAGATGTAAATAAAGCATTTACTAAAGGTTTTTTAAATATTAGGGAAATACCAGTATTTAACCAGTTTGACCATTGGAAAAAATACAACGATGAAATTAAAATAGATGAACTCCATGAATTAACTTTATATTATGTTGAAACTATAGACACAAATGTAAGACCGTTAAAAACAACAATGGACAGCATTAAGGAACTAATAGAGAAAAATCAACACACCAAGCAGATGATATATTCTATTGCATATAGTAAAGGTATTGACGTTGCTACTTATATAGAATTTCGTAAAACACATGATTTAAGTTTGTTTTTAAATCCTGATGAATTAAAACAAGCAATTAGAAACATTGTAATAAGTGGCAATCACAACTTATTTTTCAACAAAAAATATAATCTAGTATATGGCAAGTTTTTGAAGGAATTCATCAATGAGAATAAGACACACAAAATCAATATTTTATATTATAAACAACCTTCATTTATTCATAAGGTTGAATATACAAATATTATTAATGAACTTTTACAAACAAATATAGATGAACATGACGAAGCATTAGATAAACTAATTAAAAAGTTAATAGCAAATGTAAATTTTGGATTATTAGAAAAGGGAGGTGCTACAGCACATCAAAGTATTTTATTTAAAAGTATTGATGAAGCAGTCCATTATCAAACAGAATACGGAGGTAAAATTAATAAGTTATCGCATATTATAAGCGAATATCCCGAAATGATAACCGAATATGACGACGAAGGAGGCGCAACTACAACATATTATGGATTTGATGAGGATGAATGGGATGTAAAGGCATCATATTATATATTGAATTTGAAGGATAAGGCAGTATTAAGAAACGGATATAGATATATTAAAGAGCTACTTTTACAACATCACAATTTTAAAATGAACCAAGACTTTAAGACACTAATAACTAATAATATTAATATATATAGTGTAAAAACAGATGCTTTTGTAATTGATACATGCAATGAAGAAAAAACAAAGCAATTATTAGAATTTCATGATGATATAGGAGGTTGGAAAGTTTCAAAGCAGAGAGATGAAATTAATTTACCTACAGTAAAATTTAACGTTGTAAATAATGAATTAATAAAAATACCAGCTTATGAAAGTAAAACTATTGATATTAAAGATGAATACGACACTGATAACATTATAGAGATTGTTAAACAGAATAATCCTATTATGATCAGAGGTGAACTACCGGGCACAGGAAAATCATATATATGTCAAAAAATGGTTGATAAAAATTATAAGGTAATTTTTATTTGTCCTACTAATAAACTATTACAGGCATTTGAAGGAGAAGCAATGACGATAAATAAATTCTTTGGTATTAATTATGGAGATGCTAAATTAGAACCATTTGATTTTACAGAATTTGATGTAATAGTATTTGATGAAATCTATTTTAGTAATTTAAATATATACTGGAGAATAAAACAATTTGTAGAGCAAAATAAGCACAACAAAATTATAATAGCAACAGGAGACACCAAGCAATTAAAACCAGTGCAAGAAATAACAAATACTCAAGACTATGAATTATACACTGACAATATTATAGATAATATTTTTACACATAATATAATATTGAAAGAATGTAAGAGACTTAACACACAGGAAGATAAGGATAAACTCAAGAATATAAAATATGATATTTTTATTAATAAATTACCAATTAAAACTATTATTGAAAAATATTTTGAATACACCACAGACATAAGTAGTTCCAAAAACAACATAGCATTTTTGAATACAACTTGTAAAAATGTATCAAATGAAATTAGAAAATTAGAAAATAGAAAAGATGAATATGAAGTAGGAGAATTTTTAATTTGTAGAGAATATACTAAAACTAAAACATCAGTTTTTAATGTAAATTTCAAATATAAAATAGTTCATATTGGAAGTGATGGAATATTTACATTAAAAAATGTAAAAACCGAAATTTTACAATCCGTAGAACTTGCTAAAATAAGAAGCAATTTTATATTTTCTTCTTGCTCTACATGTCATTCTACTCAAGGTAGTAGCATTGATGACACCATAACAATTTTTGATTATAATCATTTTTTGGTAAAGAATTATCCAGAATGGATTTTTACAGCGGTAACACGTGCTCGTGATTTAAACAAAGTCAAATTTTATAAATATACAAAGGATGTTGATGATGTATTTAATCAAAAATGTATTATGAGTTATTTTGAAAGGAAAATTTTGAATTATAAGGAACAAGACAGGAAAGCAAAAAGAAGCATACCTAGAGAAGGTTATGTAAATACTCAATGGTTTCTAGATAATATAAATAATCAATGTAATTATTGCGGATGTGGTTTTACTATTGATATGAAAAATGGTAATATCATTACAAATCTAACAGCACAACGAAAAGATAATGAATTAACTCATACAATAGAAAATATCATCCCATTTTGTAAATTATGCAATTGTAGTTGTAAATGATGATAATTTTTAATTTAATTATGATAATATAATTACAATCTTAATTTATTAATTTAATTTTAATTTAAAATTAAAATTCTTGTAAAAAGTATTTAAAGAAATATTTTATAATACTATTATATAGTGTGATGAGTGATACAGTCCATGATGCTAAAAATATATTGAAAAAAAAGTTTATGAGTTATAAATGTGGAGACTGTGAAATGCTCAAATTACCAATTGAACGGGGTTTTACAAATGGCGTTTGTAATAATATTTGTCAATATATGATATGCAATAATTGCAATAGACTTATAAAAAAAATTGATGATATGAATAACAAAGATATTGATATTATAAATAATGAAACTCTTGATGATGATTTAGAAATATTTGTGTTTATTGTAATGAATAATTTCTTAACTATAGAAGGGTTTGATAATTTACTAACTGAGTGTGATGACGAAGGATATAATAATGATTTTATTTTTAAGTATTATAGTATGGTAAAAAAATTATATAACGTTTCTTTTAATATTAAACGTTTAAAATATGTTATATTGTTTGATTTTTTAAATGAGTTTTTAAATGATGAGTATAAAACTCACGAACTTAGATATACAATAACACGTGCAATTGGAATAATGGGAATGTTTAGAAAACAAATAGGAAGTAATATTTATAATGAAACAACGTGTGATAAAATAATAGAAAGAATTAAAGAAGAATGGTGCCCGTAAAAAACGAATGAACCAGACCTTGCCCATAATATGTCTACAAAATTTGTGATAAAATTTATTGTAAAATAATTTATCATAATTTTTGGAATAATATTTTTGAAAAAAATGTAAAATTATATTTTGTAAAATTATATTATTATTATTTTGTAAAATTTATTTTTTAAAATTTATTTTTTTTAAAATTTATTTTTTTTTTAAAAAAAATTTATTTTTTATTTTTTAAAATTTATTTTTTAAAATTTATTTTTTAATTTTTTTTTAAAAAAATTTATTATTTGTTTTTTAAAAAAAATATTTTTTATTTTTTAAAATTTATTTTTTTAAAAACACATATATTTTAAAATATGGATGAACTTACTAGGAAATTACCTGCTTTAAAATGTTGATTTTTGAAAATGTGCTTTTTGAGGTGCTGTTTTAAAATGTTGCTAAAAGTGTGGGGGGGGTCCTAGGTTTTTTTATAGAAAAAAGATGGGCAAGGTCTAGTCTAACTATTGGGGGGGGTCAATAGCGAAAACCCAAAACAAAATGGGGATCAGACTGGGACCTGCCTGACCAGTAAGTATTGTTTAGAATTGGTTTAGTGTTGGTTTAGTGTTCCTTTGAGCTGGCTCACTACGGTTTAGATTTGGTTTAGTATTAGTTCAGTATTCTTTTCAGTTGACTCACTACAGCATAGAATTGGTTTAGTATTGGTTCAGTATTCTTTTCAGTTGACTCACTACAGTTTAGAATTGGTTTAGTATTGGTTCAGTATTCCTTTGATATCCCATCTCCTGTTTTGTTTTCACAATTCCCTACCCTTAAACAAGCTGCATCATTGCCTTCCTGGGGGTTCCGTGTGCCACCCCTTGAACATTTGTCAGGGTGCATCTTCTAGTAAAGGGATTGATGAGGAATTTGGTGGTTTGGGACAGGAAGCAATCCAGAGATTCTGGACGTTTCTGGCTGTACCTGAGACCAGCGGGGCTTTCTTCTTGGCAGGCTGCCCTGGCCAATTTTCACAATTCCCTACCCTTAAACAAACTGCATTATTGCCTTCCTGGGTAAGTGGTCAGGTTGGTAGCGGTGTGGTGTGGTGACTTTGGAGCGTGGGGAGCTGCTGGGACTGGGAGGAGCGCGGCGTTGGACTCAAACGTTTCAACCCTCAAAAATAGTCCATTCTTGAAAGAGAACATATTTTCGGGATTTCGGGCCGATTTGTTTCTGTAATACCTACCCTTTTGCTTTTCAGGAGAGTGAATAATTTTGAGATGTGTTTCTGTATTCACTCCCCTTATGCTAATCGCTTATCTAACATTACACATCAGTGCGAGCGGATCGGGACATCATACATCCAGGACATCCTAAACTTCCTCTACATCCTACATCCATCTCTTGATGCTTTTTTATCGGTTCTGAGATAGAGCCAGGGAAACAGTCAACCGTGAGAATAGCGGAGGTTTTGAGACCCCAAAATTCCTCTGGGGTGTCCACTGAGGGTCTGGGTCTTCCATTGGGTGCGCCACGAACTTTCACCCGCAAAACAAAATCTGCCCAACCCAACTCAGCCATTTCGACGGAGCCGGCGCCGGCTCCTTTTGCAGCAGCGCGCGGATGAGGCTTTTGCACTGCTCCGACACGGCGCTCCACTCCTCGCCCTCCATTTCGTACCGCGCCTCTTCAAGGCGCTGAATTCGGTCGGGTTATGGGTGTGCCTTCTCTGGGCTGTCCTCAGATCCCCCGCTAAAAGTCTAACTTCTAGTGGGTTAAATGGAAACCCCCACTAAACACGAAAAAGCTAGAAGGCTAAGGGAATGGCTGGGAGCCACCAAGTTTTGCAGCCCATGGATTCCGGTTTTCTGGCTTTCCCTTTAACATCAACCCAGGGTATCCGCAAAAAAGACAGACCCAAATGCTGCTCTCACTTGCCGAGTTGATTGACCAAACAAGTCTAAACGTTTTGTCCGCCGCAACAATTGTTTTTTTCAGAAAGCCCAGGAGCCCAGGAAGTGCAAGTAGCGAACTTGGCGAACCTCGTGCAATTGAAGCGCTGCGGTGCTTCCTTTGCTTGGCCAGTATGGTACGTATGCGCCCTCGTTGGCAAGCCAGCTTAAACATCATGTGTGTGTATATATGACACGTGTGTGTGCAAAACTCCAGTTGGTTCTACCTGTTTCTCTAGGTAATTGGGGTTTATTTGCTTCAGCAAAAGCCGGCCTGCCGTGGTGCAGTAAATGTTTGAATGACCTCTCAAAACAGGACCCTTTCTTCGCTCGTCTTTTGAAGCCGTACAACTAGGCCGGAACATGCGGACTTTCAAAACCACAAGGCCAACATGTCACAAACAGAACCCCAAACGGCATCCGCTTGAAAAAACCAGACTGGTAGATCCATCGCCATCCATGACTGACCGCTTCAATTCAGGGTCTTGGATGAAACTAGCAGCTTTGGTCCTGCCTCCAGGATCCGTGCCTGGCAGTCCTCGCCATAGAAGGGGCTGTCCCCGCTGACCAGCACGAAAAGCACGCAGCCCAGCGCCCAAAGATCCAGCTTCTCGTCGCAGCGGTCGCCCTTCAGGATCTCCGGGGCGCTGTACACGAAGGTCCCCACCTGTCAAGCTGCTGTGCTACTTAAAGGCGGTCAGGGAAAACTGGAAAACCCGAAACCCACTTTGGGCCTTTGTGCGAAACCCACAAGAAAATGGGCCAGTTAGCACCCAGAACTGGTTGCCAATATCAACCCCAGTGGACAGTTGTCAGCAAGGGACTAGACCTTTGTTTAGCGAACTAGGTAAGGTATTTGGAGCGCTGTCACCTTGTTCTTCGCTGGGGATGAGATCTTCTCACCTCCAATTATTCAGTCCAAATGGATGCGAACAATGCGTGCAGAGATTTCATCAGGGGGTGCGATTTCATAGGAGAACCCACCGATGCGAAACAGTAAACCCAAGTTCTGCATGTCACCATATGTGGCTTTCCAGATCCTCTAAGGTTGTTTTCGCTTCCCTGATTCACACACTCTCTCTGGCGCGTGACACGCGCTCTCTCTCTCTCTCTCTAGTTTATCACTTTCAAGCAACCTCCCTTGTAATGGCACCCCCGGGGCCAACATTGCCTACCAACCGGCCCCCCTTTCACCCCGTGCCCCACGCGGAAAATGCGCAGCCCCTTTCATCCGAATCGATCCTTGGCACGGAGCTTCACCCCCTCGAGGATCCGCGAGCCGAAGCCGAAGTCGATCAGCTTCACGGAGAGCTCCTCACGCGCACGTCGCCCGTCGGACCGAGCCGGTTTGGAGCTTTGGGGCTTGGAATGGGGCAGGTCTAGGTGGAAAATCGGACCGCTGGAGAAACAGGGTGTTACATTCGCGCCCAAAAAAAGCAGCACGAGTTGCCAAGTGCAGTATGGTTTGGCTGTGCTCCCCCCACCCCCCCCCCAACACACCCCCGCGCCCCCCGATGCAAGTCGCCCCTGTCTGCCCTACACAGAAACACGCAAAAACACAGCATTCTGAATCTCCAGGCAATCAGCCAGCCAAACCTTGACAGCAGGTGCTTCTGCTGTTCAGGGCGAAACACTACCAACAAACCTTGATGTCAACAGGCAAGCCTCACAAGCCGATCGACGCAAACGCCTTCTCATTGTGCGAATCAACCCTGCAGCGACTTCAAGGAGACATCATCCAAAGATCAACGTCGCAGCCTCCCTGACCACTTCAAAAAAGCCAAGCCACATGTGTTTTGAATGCTGCAGAAGGGAGGGGGGATTGAGGGGTCCCCAGTTCCATTAATCTTGCCTGCGCCCAGACAAAACCGGGAGCTTCCCTGCCATTCCGCGTTTGAGGTGGGGATTTGGGACTTGCAGCCTCGGGCAGGAAGTGCGATTTCCAGCCCTCCAACCTGAATCCCCACCGACTTCAACCTGTCCACCCCCAAAACCTGAAACGCGTCGTACGGGGGTCCCCGTACACTCATCCCCAACTTGTTGCTTCATTCTTTACACAAAATATTATCTGGAGTTCGGATCATGGTGCGTCTCCTCCTCCTCTGCCGCCACCAAAATGTTTTCCGGCTTGATGTCACCTCGGCCAGTGGCATCTGAAGAACAAAGATGGATTTGATCTTCTAATTGCTGGTCATTTCACCCATGGAAAAGTCGTGCACCTGACTGATGGAATGAGCATAGGCCTCTTCTAGTTGCTGGTCATTCTACCCGGTTCCCTAGAAAATGTGTGCACCCGACTGATAGAATGCTCCCGAGGCCAATTCTTTTAGATTTAGGGGGCACCCCGCAACCATTCCTGGAGACAACCACCCCTGGAAACACATGCCCAATAAAAAATAAAGCAACATGGGGAGCTGAACCCTGAAAAGGGAAACCGACTGCATACCAAAACGCAAGCACGTGCACATGGAAAACACACGTCGTAACAACGGCGGAAAAGCGCAAACAAAGCAAACCGGCAGTAAAACCACAGTGCCAGTTGTCCAGTTGTCACATTGTTGCCTCGCCTTGTCTTGTTGTGGTTGCCGGTGTTGTTCCACACAGGGGAAACTTATGAGACCGCCCGCTGGTATGATTTCGCGTGATTCGGGGCACGCTCCTTTTTGCCCAAGGGATGGGCTTTTTCTCCCCCCGACAGGCTCGACACTTTTCTTAAAAACGGGTTGCGCTTTGCAGATATTCCATCTGTTCTTCCTCCTGTTTGGAACTCCTTTAGCACAAGGTGGGCCACAAAAACACATCCGACTCGCACCCACTCACATGACTTTGCCTGAAAAACCCGGCCTCCCCAACACAAACAAAGAAGACAAAAGGACCTCTTCTGCCAATTGTGCAATACTTGTGGCTCAGTCCACTGTTCCATTTTTGGGCTAGCCCTAAATACTTAAACCCAGGGCTCAGCGGCGGTTCCTTGAACAGTTAAGGCTACCTTAGTCAAGCAACTAGGTTCATAGCCACCGTGAAAATCCACAATACTTTGCGAACATGGAAATGGGACATGTGTGCCACGGTCAAACTTTTGCGTGCGAGCCATGGTTCCACTAATACGAATCCTCACCACGGTTGTCTCAATTCCCAATTTCCCGTTCCAGGGGTCCTGACTGTCCCTGAGCGATTTTTCTCCGCGGAGCATATATGTGTGTCTTGAAATGAGGGGCTTCCCATTAAACCAACCCCCGCAAAAAAAAAGACACACTCATACTATCTGAAGCAGTCCAAAAATGTGAATTTCAATAACGCCCACTGCTGGACACAATTTAGGTGGGAAGTTATGTCTACCAACCATGTGTCAGGCGGTTCAAGCCATATGTTCCCGGAGGTCCCTATGAAAATCCTTCCGGCCAAGGCACGATGCACGACCCCATGCTGGTGGCAATACGCCAAGGCCGAGGCCACTTGACGTATGACCCGCGCTGCCTCGTGCTCGCTCAAATGCCCCCGGTCCACCACGTGGTCGAAGAGCTCACCCCCCGGGATGTGCTCCATGACCAGGTACCTCGGACTGCGACCAACCACAATACTTTTTTTGCTTCGGACAATCCCCACCCCCACCTGAGAATGCAACCAGGCAGGCAGCAAAAGTCAATCCACCTGTTTGATGCTGGCTGATTCGAAGGCAAAGCAACCCAGCCAAACCAAAATGGAACCGAGGCAGTGTTGATTGCTAAGAACAACAAGCACAAGGAGAGTGCACTTTGCAGCAAATTGTGATTTGTGGGGAAGGGGGGCATCATACAGTTTCCCGTGAACTTACTTTTCGGTGTCGGAACTTTTCGTCACCCGTCGCGCAACAAGGCCCTGGGCAGACCCTTAAAGGAAGGCAAAGAAGCACAACAAATAACGGCAAAGCACAGCAGTTAATTAAGGAAACCTGCGTTTCATTTTCGGGCCCCAACCCGTTTTTGGGCACGTGAAAATCAAGCTTCCATGAAGGCCAACCAAAAACAAACAAAAAACAGGTTTGCGGTTGGAACACACGCCCGAGACTTGAGAGGGCGCAAGTTCTTGGGATCCTCATAGACCTGCAAGAGCCGGCAGATAGAGGGATGGTCTAGGGACTTCATGAGCTCCACCTGGCAGGTTTCGGACACCCCAGCTGCCATGGCTTGGACGTGACAAAACAAATGGGGCTATTAACCATGCATTTATTTCTCCCTCCCTCTCGCCCAACCAGGTCTTGCGGGTTGAAAATCGGCCAAGTGGCCTGCCCCGTCCTCCAAATGGTCCACGCCCGGCTTCCACCCATCCGAAACTACTCGGTAGCATGCGTATATTTGCAGAGGAACAGCTATAAAATCCAACGAACGAACTCACCCGGATGAGGATCCTTTATCGTGCATGACTCCCCGAACTCCTTGTGTAGTGCATGCGTTGTATTATTTTGCCAACGTGCAGAAGTGCATCAACAAACACCCAAGCGAACGTGAAAATGGCTATAGTTTCATTGACAAGCGCCTAAATACACAATCATTAACAACAAAACACAAATGTCAGTTCAAGGACCAGGCAACCCCACACGCAAAGCTTTCCTTAGCATGAGTGATGCGCTGCTCCATGAGAACGACAGACGGCGAGTGACTGTCTGGAACAGGCTCAGGGTCATGGCGCGCCAAATTTGAGCGTGACCTGGCAGAGTAAAAATGGAGAGGACCGCGCGCAATCAGTGCAACTTGACCCCCCACCGTGATTTGGGAGATAAACCCACACACACACCAACAAGTACCTTATACATGTTCTCTGGTGTGTAAAATGTGTATCTAAAGCCCAACGGGCGTCTGCCCGATTCCCAATCTGCCCGTTTCGCCTCCACGCGGAATTCCTGGAGCGCTTCCTCCGAGTCCGCGCCCGGCTCGTCGAGGCCGGCTGCCACGTTTGGCTTCCTGGGCTTCGGCCAAACCCGGTGGGTGGGTGGGTGGGTGGGTGGGTGGGTGGGTGGGTGGGTGGGTGGGTGGGTGGGTGGGTGGGTGGGTGGGTGGGTGGGTGGGTGGGTGGGTGGGTGGGTGGGTGGGTGGGTGGGTGGGTGGGTGGGTGGGTGGGTGGGTGGGTGGGTGGGTGGGTGGGCGAGTTGAGCCGGAAAGCTACAGGCCAAGGCGGGTTTGGGGTAAGGGTAAGGCTTGCTTACGGTTGGTTTAAGGTCGACCCAAAAGAAATCCACGGGCCAAGGTGAGGCTTACCAGGCAAATAAGGGCAACATCAAAAAGCAACTAGAACAAGATCCACAAGGAAGCTCGGTTCAATCGGGTCAAAAGGATGGTCTTTCAAGGGGCCCGTTTCGATGCAGCCGAAGAAGTGAAACGCCGAAGCGCAGGGTATGCTATCAAGGAGCCCGAATTGGACCTCTGCAATTTTGGAAGGATCCGTTCCGGATTCTGGGGGATGTGTCAGAATGGGACGAAGAAAGTGATTCACCAAGTCTAGAAAGATCTCTTGCGGTGCAGAGAGAAGCGGTGTTGGCACTGAAAGAGTCGCGCAGAGTTTCTGTTTATATTATTCCCCGAAAGCCCACAAGTTAAGCACTCCATTGGATTTAGCATGCAAATATACATGCACATTTGCAGCTAGGCCGTTGTTCATGCTTGCGAAAACAAGACGGTCAACATCAACAGCGGAAAGCCGATGAACAGGTTTGGGAAGCACCCGACATGGGAAATGCAACTCACCCCTGGCTGCTTTACCGGAAGCACCGCCCTTCGAGTTAGGCCCTGGACCTCTGTCAACCATCAGCCCTGAGATTGCGTGCCAGCCCAACCCTATGGGTCCCCATCCCGGCCCCTACGACCTCCAAACCACTCACTTAGAGCAAAGCTCAGCAAGCAGCCCATGGGCATTTTCGCATCGACCAGCTTAGTTGGATCGCCCCTAAATGGAATCAGCTGGCAAGGAGCGCTGGATGTACCAACATGTGGGACTTGCAAAGAGCAAACGCAACAAACTTTATACGGTATGAGTGCCTGGGAACTGTTGCTCCCAAAGCGCTTTAAACCGTCTCCCATGACTTCATTCATTGACAATCTAGCTTCTGATAAGTCCCACTAAAATGCTGATTCTCGCAACGCTTGATCCCCAATTCCTTTCACGCGTCATTTGCTTGAGACACCACCCCCCCACCTTCGCCTCCCTTTAGCGGATTCCCCCGGCTCGAGATCATAACGACCCAACGAAGGAACCTTCGCGGTTGACTTCCAGAGGTATCCCACGCCACGTGTCCGCACCCGCTTGACCGCGCAAAGCCGGCCCTGGCGCTCCGCCCCGCTGCCCGCACAAATGCGCTGCCGCGCCAGAAACACCTTCAACAGGCTGATGGGGATGAAGCCCATGTGGTTTCTTTGTATTGTTGTATTCTTTGGTTGGGAGTCCTGGGTTTTGTGTGGCCCCAGTTGTGTCTCCCTCCAGAAAGCTTGGAACATAACATGAAAAGAAACATTTGCTTGTTCTTAGAGGGAATCGAGGGGGCTATGGGCCAAGGGCCTATGGGCAATCGACTGGGTTGTTTCAGATGGCGAGTCCCTGATTGCATCCATAGTGGCACAGCACTGCAACAATGGAAGCCAATACCATCTGGCAGGGGGATCAAGAATTAGTTTTGCGAAACCTAGGCTCAACTGGTAACTAGCTATTCGTGTGGCCTGTTCACCGCATGTTGGTTTGTCCGCGCAACCCGTCCAAACGGTCGAGTAAGTGTCATTCTTTGAGAGCATGTGGTTGAGATTGGCCTTTCACCAAGGAAAGCGAACAAAGGAGAACCAAGCGGCATGACCTTCAAAGCCCTGGCTAGGACACGCCATAGGGGGTGGGGGAGAAGCGGATCCGAAAAAAATCGGACCCTACACATCAAAGCTAGGAATGGGGATCCGATTGACAAGGGCTTACAAAGTGAGGATATGATCGGAACGCCCCCCCGGTCACGTATGATGTTCAATGATTTCCCATCTACCCACCAAGAAATTCGGAAAAGGGGCCTCCTTATGTCTCTCACAAGATTTGGACCTCCCAGTATGGACAATTCCATGTCGCCCCCGGATTGAAAAAACCCTGTGGCTCTTCATCAACAAGAGGTTTTTGATCCGGGGTTCCCAGCAAAACCATATACTTGTATACTTCTCGCACATGGATTTTTTGGCTCATGGTCACAAAGGTGTCCTCACTATAACCCTTAAACCAGCTATAGTAGAACCACACATGGTTCCGTCTCAAACTAGGGACTCGGAGCCCAAAATTGGATAGCGGTTTTGCTCTTGGCTTCTCGTTTAAACCACCCCAAAACGGACACCGAGCCTCCCAAAAACCGCGCGAGCCACCCGCATGAAGCGACCAAAACCCCGCGTCGCCTCACCAAAGGCACCCTCCCCAAGGTCTCTCACACGCTCATAGAAGTCTGAGAGCCGGCCGTTGGCCTACGAATGGAGGGCTGGAGAGTGGACGATGCCCAAAACTGCTCAGTTTTGGAAGCTGGTGGCGGCAAACACCCTTTCTGAGGGGTTTTGTTGTACACTCTGGAGTTACACCCTTGGGAAATGACCCAGAATGGTTCAAAATTGCACGGTTTTATCCGGAAATATGGCTAAATGGGGTCAATACCCAGTGGGTGTATTCCCAGGGTGTAATGCAAAAACCCTTAGACCCTTGGAAGGGAACAAACAAATAAGAGCCCTTGAGCATGGTTGCGGAAACACCTAGAAAAGGAACAACCACATAGGACCTCTTTTGAACAGTGGCAAAGATACCTGGGAAGGGAATAACCATCTGTTGAACCTGTAGATCAAGCACTGATATGCGGGCTGGTCACCTGCCAATGCGTGTTGCTCTACCTGTTCGCTTGGCTGGGCCTTGTTCGCACCCAGGCCTTTGACCGTTTGACAAACACCGAAACATTCAAACCATCCACCAGGTGGGCACTCATGTTGGGAACACCCGCATTCTATGGTAACCATATACTCGAACCAAGCCACAAACTGTGGTCATCCGACATCCGTGGGCCCTTGAACCTCCCAATTGGGAGAGTTACTTACAGGACCAGCCGCCTCACGCAGGAACTGCTTGCAGTCCAGGGCCGTCTGCCGGGGAGAAACAACCTGCTGCACATCCGGGCTTCCGCCGTCCGGACTTGCGCCCGGGCCCGCGCCGTCCGCATCAGCGCATTCAGCGCTCGCGAGGAAACTGCCCATAGCTACAGCCTGAGAGCCTAAAGACAATTGCTAGGCCCTCAAACAGACCATGCTGAAGAGCAGTCCAGGAAAGAAGTTATGAATGTGTCTCTGGTGGTTCCATTGGGTGCCTGTCCCAGGCCATTCTATTGAGCGAACCTGAAATGAAAGCATTCGTGTCCTGCTGTCTATAAACCTCATTTTTTTGAAATGCACCATGGCAACCATTGCCCGCGCAACGCAACGAATGACAACTGCAGAGCCCGGCTGTGCCTTGTCAGGAACCGTATCATAGTCGAGTCCTCTGGACGCCCTCGTGCCTCAGTCAAGAGACAGGTATTTCCCAATAACGCCCTGATGGTTGCCTTGTGGCGTGTGTAATTGAGAGTCCCCTGTCGGGTTGGTTTAAAGGAAACTTGCAAGGAAAAAGCCGTGGGCGTGGGAAAGAAAGGGATCCTTTTTGGTTGGTTGAGTTTAAAGGGGAGCCCTTCCCACCAACAAAAACGGAAAAAAAGAGCGGAATCCACTGGGCAACTGGGAGAGGTCCGATGCTCATCCTGGGCACGTCTCAGCCTCGGGCCCTTCAGCCAATTTCCTGCGTAGACGTTTGATTCGGGCGCCATTTCCGGCACCACCGGTTCGTGTGCACCAATTGATGGTGTTCCAGCCATGTTTGCCGAGGCGTGAAGTGGTGCCAGTTGAAATTCATAGGCCTAGGTGCCAAACATAGCACAAAATGATACCAGCAAGGTATGGAGGAGTTTGTAGCAGGAGAGGTCTTGAAAGCAAACCAATGTCCCAATGTACAAGGGAGGCGAGGCGGTGCCGCTCCCTCTCAGCTTCACCACTTCGTGAGGAGGAAAACAAAAAAACAGAGCTACAACTTTTGATCCTGGCCAATGAGCTACCCCCCCCCAACTCCACGGCCAAACTCGGCCTTTGGCCGCCAGCTGAAGCGACGGCATGAAGGCAAAGATCTGCTCCTAAGGGCCGATTGGCCACGCTTGGGCCTCCGCCAACTTTGGGCCCTTGGTGACCTGGCATCTCCGCAGGACCCCACTGAAACACGGGTGGACACCACCCATTTGGCATGAGAATTCGGGAGTGGTTTTGAAGAACGCAGAAGGTGATCTTGTGGAACCTTCACTTCAATGAGGGCTATTGCTCGAACACGCTCCTTTTGGCCCCCCTTCAAGTCAACCAGGGAAAAAGGTGCCCTCCAAGGTAGTCATGCTTGACTCCCACATTATCACATTTGGGCGCCTGGAATGTGGGCTCCAGCAACCAACTTTCCTGTTGTTCAAAACCCCTATCAGAAACGGAAGCCCATTTCTTACCCGATAGAGCCGGAGACTTGGGCGCCACCTGGGACTCTGAGAGGCAGACCCACCACTGGTTCACGCCCTCGTCTTGCTGCAGGTCGCGGTCATCTCCTGCGGCACCGCCACGCCCGAAATCAACGGCGCTGCGAAGGCTCAAACTCAGGCACCACTCCACCTGGCCCAAACCTGAGGTACGCAAAAAAAGACATAATTCAAATATCTGGCTCAGAGTTTGCTTACCCAAATACGTACAATAAGTTTGGATCAGGCCTCAGCTTGGGTGTTGAGCCAGGAATGCAACCAAACCAACCGTGCGTGGCGGCAGCCTCTTCGGCAACGCAACTGACAGGCGTGCGGCTGACAAGTGAGGCCTGCTCCAAAGGTAGCTCTTTAGTCGCACATCCAAGGCCCTCCAGAGCCAAGTCCAAGGCTTTTAGACTTGTTGCCCAGTTTCCCAAGTTCTCATGAGCTAAGTGCACATCCGAAAGGGTGCCTAAAGGTCCCCACAAGAAAGCAAATCACGTTTTTGTTTATCCATAAGTCCTCTAGTGGTCACCTCCTAAAGGCTTTGACTTTTCTATCCAATCGTCGTTTCCCTTTCCGATTTCCTCGCGCCTTCGAAGGCTCCCTGCGCCCACTCCCGGATCAGGGTGTCAAAGAGCCTCTGGACCTGCGAGGAGCTTTGGGCCCGGACAGCTGAGGCCTTCAGACGATCCAGCCAGGGTGATCCTGCGTGTGTCTTTCTCGAGGGTACTGTTTCTTTGGGGGCTTGTAGAGGGAAAACCAGTACAAAGAAGATACACAAAGACATAGATCCAAAAAGATTAGATCTAAATTCGTTTCGATTAGATAAATAGATAGACAGATAGATGAAACGGATAAACACATATATATATATATATATTAATATATATATATATATATATACATGTACTTGATGTATGTGAGGCATTCCCTTGACAAACAAACATTCAGGAAAGAGACATGGAAAGAAAGAGAGAAACAAGACAAGGAGAACGAGAAAGAAGAGAACGGACAAATAGCATGAGAAGAAAAAAGGATAGAGGGAATAATGACCATAATTATTATACTGTTGAACCTTCCGCTAACCGGCTTCGCCGGCTCCACTGGTATTGCTATCCAACTGACGGCTAGCTAGCTGGCCAAGGAAACAGCCTAAAATCTAGCCAGGCAACTGGCTAGCGATGCAAACCATCTAGCCAGCCAACTGGCTAGCGCTGTAAGCCCATCTAGCCAGCCAACTGGCTAGTGCCGTAACCCACCCACCAGCTAACAAGCCAAGCAACTCACGGAGACTCTGGCAAGGCAGCAAGCAAGCTAGCTAACCTACCCGGACACATAGCTAGCAAATGAACCCAAGAGCTCAGTGGCAAGCTACCTGGAAGAAACGCGACAGACGTTTACTGACGGTCTGACTGACTAACTGACTAGCCGACTGACTGGCCGACCGACGGACTGACCGACGGACTGACTGAGCTTCCAAGAGCGAAGTACGTAAAATCAAATTGCATCGGACTAACACAACTCTGTGATGGAGCCAAAGCTCTCATCTAGGGGTGCCTAAAAGATCAGAAACTTGCTTTAGCAGCCTCACAACTTCTTAGATGACATTATAGATTCTCAGGTTCTCATATGGAGCCTGATGAAGTCTCACAGTCCCAACTTGATGTACCAAGTACATATGGGTTTGTGTCAAGCCCGGCCTTTTGAATTATGCTGAGTCTGATATGTATCTGAACGTATGTATGTGAAGATATCGAGGTCGCCCCAGCCCTTGGCCTTCAGAGCGCGCTGGTACCACCGCGGTGTCCAGCCCAAGGCAGCCCACCCGCGAACCTGGCCGGTCCGGGCCACGAACCCGGTGACGTTTGGGTGGATTCTTGGGAAGCCAGGCTCCCAACATGGCAAAGTGTTTTCCGTTTCGTTTCCCAACTAAGAGGCACACCAAAAAAACGGGGGCACTAAAACAACGAGCCACCCATGCGTGGTACCTGGTACCCTTTTCGCCCTAGTTGCAACCAGGAGGACATGTGCCAAAAAGGATTGACCCCTTCGTGGATGTGCACCCTGCTGCTTGCGCGAGTTCTGTCAGAAACAACACTCAGACTCAGCTCCTGAGTGCACTTCCAAAGCAAGTGTAGCATGTTTTGTTTACCACTAAAATGGTCCAGACCCGAAAAGTCGCAACAATCCAGGCACTCAGGAGGTGAGAACATGCACAGGTCTTCTGAGCACATGCGCGCCTCCGCCAGGTGCTCCATGTCCATGTCAGCCAGGTTCAAAGGCGCCTAAGGCGAAGTGACAGGAACCTGTCGGGATGTGCCTCCGTGAGCCCGCCGAATCAAGCTGCTTTAAGCAGGGGGTCGTTCAGAAACAACAGCACACACGCAGGCACGCCAAACATTACGACTTGTGTTATGGCCAAGCATGCAATGTGTAGATCTCATATGTATATATATATATATATATATTTATTTATTTATTTATAGTGACCCCTGTTGTAGACTATTTATTCCCTCGAACCAGTTGCTCTCTTGCAGCTTCCTTAGACAACTGGATTGGCCGGGGCGCCTTCTCCGAGTCAGCTGCGATAAGCTTCATCTGCTCCTGGCAAAATTACCCCTTCCTTTGGGAAGGGACGACCGCAAAAACCAGAAAGTTCTCAAGCCGCCCAAGTGCCATTGTGCAAATGGGAGTCTCACCACGCCGTGGAGCTGTTCAGGTCTGAGGTGCCTTCATGTTGCTCTTTTGAGACCGTGGGGATAGTTTTGGCACATGCCACAGAGAGGTACGCATGCCTGATGAATGAATGGGAAAGTGGTGCTTGCGCACTTGTGCCAAAGCGTCTCTCGTGTTAGGTTCTGCGGGTGCTTGATGTCTATGCTCCGTCCGACACCTGCAGAGGTCACTTTAGCTTGTGTAGCACACTCTGGTGCTTGACTTGTGTGTGGAATACCCTGAGTACACTCAAGGCGTCACATTGCTCTAATTCATCACCTTCAAACACAATCTTAACACGAGTGCGAAACTCACAAACACCTGCCATACACCATTGTATAGCATGCATACCTACATTTTGTTTGTTCAATTGAACAATGTGTCACCACATCTCAAGTATTAACATTGCGTTGTGCTAGCTGTGACCATCTTTTGTAGGTCTAATGAAGGGCTCTAGCCTGCGTAGAACGCTGAGAGATAGGGAATTCAGCCGGCTTCAAGACTTGAGGCAATGTGAGGGTCCCCCAAAACATGTTGTTTCCCTCCTTTGCCCAGCTTTCGGGCACGGCAGTCTGGCTCAGCTCCAAGGTTGGAGCTCGTTGAATGGGTTCTATGGGCTCCTTTCTGATGCAGCATTCATGACAACGTCCCTTAGTGCAAGCCATCGGACTCCGCTTAGAACTTCTGCCGGTTCCCCTGGTCTGAAAAGGGGATGCGCCAGTCACATTCCAACCATTCGCACAAGGAAAAACACCACCTGAATCAAGCGCTTCAATTTGCTGCGCCGGATCTGGCAGCCAGTCAACCAGCCCCGGCACCCATCGGCATTGAAAGCCTAGCTTCGAATCTATGTTCAGAAAGTTGCGGCACGATCAGCCCTTGGGCTGAACAGCCTGCGCCCGAGGGGCCGAATTCTGCATGCGCAAGCCTTGTGGCCCATCCAAGCTTAAAAAAGGCCAGGCCAAACTTCAAGCAACACTCAAACATTAGCAAAGTGTCTCACAATTCGAGTATCCTAGGTAAGCCTCTAAATCAAGAAAAAGCGCCAAGGACTAAGTCTCAGCCATCTCAGCCCTCTGCCTGCTCACTTACCTCTCTCACAAAGGCCGAAACTTCAAAATCCTGCGATGCCACGCGCCTCAGCTAGCCCCAGCTTGCCGAGCTACAAGCACAAGTGCTCCAGCATTCTGAGCAAGGGATTGTAAATTCCTTCTGAACAAGGGATGGCAGCCATCAACCAAGACAACCAACATGATTTTAAATTGGCCTCAACATTTGTTGGGGGGCAGGCCCCAAATCTGGACCCCCCCCCCAGCATCCAAGGCCCAAGCTGCGGCTTGTGGTAGTAGGTGCGGTACATCCATTCAAAGGCCTGAGTTGCTTTGGCCACCAAAGGGGGAGCACCCGCCCTCCGAAACACGCCAATATGTCGCTGTGGGCATTGCTGCCCCCTACAAAAAAACTGTTTGGTTGACTAGTGGCACAACACAGATGTTCCCACTTGCCATTCAAGGTAAGTTGTTTGTGAATGTCTGGGTTCCGGCTTCGGGCCCTCGCCAGGGCGTCTCCCATCGAACCGGTATGCCAAGCCTTCTAACGGGACGTGAGTAAGATGTTGCCCGAAGAAGGTCTGACTATCCGAAGAAGGGGGCGTGCAACACACATGAAGGCCAATCCTTGGGAGCTGCTGGAGCCGGAACTTCAAAGCGTCCGCAGTTTTTGAATGTCAAGAACATGGCTGCAGGGTTGCTGAAGCGGAGGCGGGATAGCTTGGAGTTAGCTTGTGGGGAGGGAACTGCGAAAGAGCACGCACGACCTGAGACCTAGATGGACTTCATGTTGGAACCAAGGTGATTGGCTGAGTTTCTCAAGCTTTGCAGGGGCGTTTAGTTCAAACAATGCCTTGATATAGAACACGATACAACAACATGCAAGCGGTTTGGACCCCGCACTGGTCAGGCCAAGGGCCCGCTTTTCTTCTTCCGGAAAACAACAAGAGTAGAAATGAAAAGGCAAGCCAAAACAAAACGACTAGCCATGAAACCAAAAAGGCAAACTCAGCCAATGTGAAATGAGCCGAGGCCGCAACGCGCATGAACAACGCGAGGCCGCCCCAGTTGATGCCACGGATGATGCCCTGACGCTGGACGCTCGACCGACGTCGCTCAAAGGCCGGGCGACACAACGTAAGCTGGGTGCGATCAACAGCTACCGGCGACAAATGGCCAGTGGAACCTAAACGTGCACCAAAGGACAGGCGTGCGCGTCGCACCCTGGGTGGTACTACCCTGGAATCATGGAAAGCGGCTGGAAGTCTTGACCAACAGCTGTTTTGCAAGACGGGCACGCTGCGTGCTGATGTTATGCCGGCAATGTCACAATCGAGCCCTTCAGCTGGCTGATTGGGATCAAATCAAGAGCCTGACGCACGCGCCAAACGTGTGGTCGGGTTGTCCAACATCAACCTGTTTGTTTACGTCAGCCATGCATATCAACCTAAGGCTCCCAATCAACTCCAAACGGGCCCTAGGCCTGGAACAAAGCTGACTTGTTGTTTTGTCGTTTGTCGTTTGTTCGTTTGTTTATTGTTCCCGTCGTCGTGCTAATGTTGTTGTGGGCATGGTGTTTCTGTTGGTGGCTGCAGTGGTCGTGGTGGGCGTGGTTGTGGTCGTCGACATCGTCGTCGCTTCTAAGCGATGCGTGTCCGTTTCTCCGGACTACTTTTACGCTGGGCCGCAACCCCTTCATGTTGCAGCCAGAAACCTCGACAAAATTAATTTCCCAGCTTCCAGCAAATTCGGCGAACTTGGGACCAACAAATTGCCTGGTTGATGTTCTTTTCTGTATAAACCTCCAAAATGGATCTAAATGGGGTTTACTGCCGCATTCATCCCCATTCGTAACTAACTGATCCCCCCTCCCTTAAGGGCAAGGGGGGTGGGGGGTCCCCAATTCCATTTATTTAGTCTTCCCCAATGGAACCACAAATGGAATTCCAGGGTCACCCCCCTCCCCCAATTCCATTTTTGAGTGGTGGGGATACCAACGGTGAGCCGAGCCCGGCCTTGCGGAGCCCCGCAAAGCCGGCGCCGCGGAAGGGGTGCTTCGCCGCCAGGACCACCGCTTCGAGGAAGGGCCTTACGTTAGAAGCGGATGGCTTTTTGAGCCTCTCACCACCCCCGGAGACACCTCGGCTCGGACAGTACTTGGGATTTTGGATATGACCTGAAAACAGAAGGTGGATCAAAATAGGGAAACCAAAAGGTCACGAGGTCGATTCTCTTTGGGCTTAAGGGGAGTCGTGGCTGGTCGATTCGCAGGGGTCCTTCAGGAATGCAGTCAAGGTTCATTTTCTCTAAACCAGGTCCTTATGGCAAAGGAATCTGAAGAAACAAAAGCTAAAAGACCCCCCCACTTTAGTGTAACGCTTTTGAAAAAGCACCACCTGCAACCACAAAGCCAGTGCGACCGTGACTCCTCTGGATTATGTGTCAAATGACTTTCTGTTCCCCAACAAGGCGGCTTTGGAAAGAATGGAGCATAGGCCGGGCTGTGTAGCACACACAACGCTCAAAGGATCAATCGCCTGCACCCCGTAAACACACACGGAAGTGCCCAGGATCATCATGCCAACCATCTCATCTCGAACACTTTGCACGAATGGGCCTGGGAATAGAATGTCTGGACATCCAGGAAACGGCTTCATAATGGGGCAACATTGGCTTGCATTCCGAGCCAAACTGGGCAAAATCAGTGAGGCCCCCATCTTTCTGGAATCTTGAGTGTCTCCCATGTCCCTTCCACATGCGCCAATGCTGAGGCGCACGCTTGCCAGCTTGCGTCATGGTCTTCACCTGGCAAGGGGCTCAGGCTTGTAGGCCCCAGACTGGGCACGCCAAAACGAATTGATTCTTGTTGGTTTGCCTCTTGAAGCCACCAAGAGGGAGCATATTGAAACCGGAAAGCACGGCACAACAAACAAATCAGTTATAATCAATTTGTGAAGGCTTGCAGACAAACAAGTCAATTTGTGAAGGCTTGCATTGATTTGTCTTTTCAACTTTCAACCCACCGTGCAATTGTATCAACACACCACGAAATGGGAACTTGTGCATGTTGGCCGCGGGTCACCCGCTGCAAGCCTAACGTTTCCTCAGCGAAGAAGGGAGGCCGTTTCGTACTACCAATCCCTGGGGCAAAAGAAAGTCGCAAGCGATGCGGGATTGCCGTATACACATCTAGAAGAAAGATCTAGTTGTCAAAGAAGGGTGTCATTCTGAGAGAACAGCGGATCAACTTCAGTGGGCCAGCCATTCAGGGCCATGACCTTTTCCTGGTTCCCCTTTCCTATGGCATACTTGTGCATGTAGCATCTGTGACATGTGTACGCAAGTCCTCGCTCACTCCCCCTCACTCCATATTGGGAGTTTGCCTTTCAGGCTACGGCTTAAGGCCTTGACCTGGTCGAGGTGAACCCTTTGCAAGATCAATCACTTTAGGGTCCTCTCGGCATCCCTTTGCACCACTCGGAAAGTTGGTTCAAATGTCGCCAAAATGGCCCAGTTTCCCTTGCTTGGCGCGTCCGCAAATCCTGAGATTAATTTGCAGGTGTTCTTTTTGGGCTCAGCCACGAGCCACGAAGTACAGTAACCCATCGCAAAACAACATGAATTTGCTAGACAACATGATAAATAGCCACACACTTTTCAGGATTTGTGTTGGGGACATCTTAAAAGTGCTCCCAAACGGGTTTCACCTTGAGATACCTCGGGTCTCAAACCGCGCTTGCGACGCCTGGTCCGGGGGATTCGTGATCACCTCTGCAAAGCTTCCTGTGAGGCTGCCCGCGACGAAGCTCAACCCCACCTGCAAAAGAGAACGGGAGAAAA